AGCCCAGAGTCACATTTTACAACCACATTTATCCCACGAGCTTCGTAATCGCACAGAGTTGCTTGCAGGGACGTACCCAGCCACTCATTTTAGGGGGTCGCTTGAAGCAGTATTGGTGAAGAGAAGGAAGGGGTTTCTCACTTGTTTTTCAGTAGTTCACATAATTACAAGGACCCCATCACAGACTACTGTTAATTTATGTGAACAACGACCACAATAAATTGCTCTAATCAGTTTTTTATTTGTAATAAATTAGACAAATTAAAACAAATTACCGGCTATCACACTTTAGATATAGGCAAGTTTTGCTGCACTAAACCTTTATTCGTAATGAGAGTGCGTGTCTATTGCCAACATAGGTTGCTCCAGGGTGTTCATCAGGGCAAGTTGATAGAGGATGAAAAACTTCATGCATGCGCTTACATTATTCAGATTTCAGTGAACAAGTAGGGTGCTCACTGAGGCACCGGATTTAAAAAGCAGGTTGGGGTCCACTCTCTTCTCTGTCTTGCCCTGTGGTCACCAAATTCCAGAAAACTCTAAGACACGGACATCGTCGTAATAACGAGCACACACCAGCAAATCAAAAGTTTACGTCTCATTGGCTGCACGGGAAGCTTGAACACTGACGTCTGTAACGATCCTTTTGGGGGGAGGGGGGCTTATTGTTAGCTTTGTTGGTACGGCACTACACGGCAGGTGCACGGTGCACTAGTGTTGCTCCCATACGCACTCTCCAGGTTGTCTCCGAGACGCGAGGGTGCGACCACAGAATGAACTTTGATGGCTCTTCTGTGATAGAAACAAAATAAAATTCGGGACCAAGGCTGTTACCGGAGTTTCGGAATAATCAGAACACACCGAAAAACATGAATCGCTCGCTGGAAACAGTGCCACTGGTATACATTCATGGCCTCCAAATTGTGAGAGAAGGGGACAAGCCTTCAGTTGTTTTATATTCCGTTTCTGAACACTGGACCAGTGGTTTGCCACTGGTACAGTTTTTCACATGCGTCACCACTGGACCACTGGTGATGCATGTGAAAGTGTGCAGAGGAGGTTTCAGAACTGCGCATGTGCTGGTTGCAAGAAAACTTATATATTTTAGAGAGTATCTAAATTACCAATTATCAGTACTTAAATGAATAACAGGGAAGCCTAGTCATGCCAAGATAATCTTCAGAATCATAGTAAGTGGTTGAACTGCATTGTGCCACTTGCACATCTTAACATGTAAGTTGTATCAATTCAACAAATATAACAAAGACAACAATGACAAAACAAAATAGCAACCGCGTCATATACAACAAAGATTACCTGGTAGCACACGGCTTACGCATATTTACGTGAACTTTGGATAGGACTTCCGACGTGATACCTTAACTAAAAAAATATAATTGAAAGAATCAACCTCGACGCCCGAAGCAACATTTTATCGTGCTAATACTGAGCAAGAAATGCTCCAATATATCGGCACGCAACATATGACTCGTACTTGAGCAAAATTGGTTGAGCTTAAGTGACATTGTATCAGCACCTTTGACACTCCCCAGCACAAGATTCTTGGCAGTCTTTCTTTCATCCAAGTCAAACAATCGATGTTCATATTCCATGTTATGCACCCCCTTCTTTCCAGAAGCAAATTCCCCTACGCTGTGTATAAGGTGTCTGTGAAGCCATTTGCAGAATCTTAAAGAAAGAAGCCATAATGGTTGCACACAAGCCAAAACACTCAATGGGTCTCCTTCTGCCAAAACCCAAGGACCGTCCATCGAGGGAGAAAGCACAAGGCGTCGTATACAAAATCAAATGTTCGGATTGCCAGGCTACATACACTGGCGAAACAAAAATTTGATCGAAAGAATCAGGCAACACAAAAATGACGTGAGGACATTCTCAAGTCATTGAAATCCTTTTGCAGAACACTCTAAAAATGCCGACCATAATATTGCCTTTGAGAAAACCGGCATCCTGACAACAAAAACAAACCAGCAAAAATTACTGTTGGTGGAACACCCAAAGCACTGAAAACACCTTAGACCATTAATACCCGTGTTACATGGGCAGAGAAAATGGCATTTACCCCCGAATGCCTTCAGATTTATTGCCATTCGCGCGGTGCCACACGGGCGAACGAAATGGCATTCGTCCGAATGCCATTCGCCACCAAATGCCTTCGCCAGAACTCAGTTGACTGAGAAATGCCTACTCTCGACGACACAGCTCGCGAAGTGCGATTTACCTTAAGTAAATAAAACAAATCATATTCAGCTAAAATTAAAATTTCCCGTCTTCTGTTTGCACTAAACTCTTAAAAGTGCTTTGAACATTATACGAAGATCATGTTGAAATGGTTTGAAACTATTGAAGTTAAATGTCCTGAAGCTGGCGTATAATAACTCGTCTCTGCTCCATAATTATTCGCTCTTGAGCACGATGCTTTGCACGGAAACACACAAGTGCTGCCGTGAAAAAATGAACTCTGCGAACATCTTCTGAGGGATGCGACAGGTGCTATGCGACAGGCGCCATTTTCTATTTACACTGTGGATCTGACTAGTGTTGGCTTAGGTTGCTACGGTCGGCTGCAACGTCGTAAAACAAAGCAAGAAACTAAAACTTAGGGCAGCGTAATATGCTTATTTCTACATTTAATGATTATCTGATGTATGAAGCTTGTAAATGCTTGTTTATTTTTTGTTGCTATTCACCCTATACTCACTTGGAAGGTGCTGCGATCGACATCATCAAGTCAAATGTCATTCGCTTTGGAGGTGTAGCAGCGCCGCCGAAAAAAGGGAACTGAAGGCCTTCGCCACCGAATGTCACTTTCTATGCCTGTGTGGCACGGGTATTAGAAGAAAACCTAGCATCTGTTTATGTCCACAGCCTAACAGCAGCAAGACCACAGAGTACCAAAAAATTGCCCTCATGTGTGATACAGTTAAACCTGCTTACAATGAACCTCCATATAAGGAATTCCTCGATCTGACGAAGTTTTTCTATTCCCCCCCGTTGCTCCATAGAAGCAGATGTATTTGCGACCTCTATGTAACAATGTAACTGCAGAAGACAACCTTGATATAACGAATTTTCCCCAAAGACAATCTAGAAATTTTGCTCTACATTTCAGCATTTTGCTACAAGCATACATCTTCCGCGGCTGCCCCTCCATCAAAGCGGCGGCGGCGAGCACGCGCCCCACGTGCGCGTGAAGCGGGCCTGCACCCCACGAGCAGGAGTTGCCCCCGTTTACGCCGCCGCGGTCGCACGGGCGAGTGTACCCTCCCCACTCAAAAAGTGCCCCGCTTTTAGTTAGCGTCACATATGTGGGGCCACGCTGCATGTGGAGGGCGCTTTAACTAGGAGTTTTCGGTGATATACGTGCCTGTCTCTGTGTTGTTCGCATTTCGTTTTCAATGCCATGCACGTGTGCTTAGTTTCACTGCGTGCACATGGTGTGTCCCCCAGCAACGTCCAACTTTGCTTTTTTTTTTATTGAAATAGCAATTACTTTAAAGGACAGTCTAGGCGGTTCTTTTTTTTTGCCGCCACCTTCATTCACCTTATATTTATACGTACCTACATATATACTGAAAACTCAAGAAAGAGAAAAAAAAAAAGCCGCAGCTCAGCACTATGCGCCGATGCGCGCTTATCTACCACGTATACTTTGCCCAGCGAATACGGGGGGGGGAGGGGGGGGGGGGGTAGATGCTTGTGCGCACGCGCTTATCATCAGGTGGCGAGAATCACCTTTGACTTTGACCGGAGCGATTGCGCTTGCCGGCCGCACAAAGATCACTTCGCTCTTTTCACACAGTCCCTTCGCGTTGAAACCTCACTGATACTTGCCGAGATAGCAAGCGCGCCAGCGATCGCGATCGCCCTTAAAATTCAGGTTCATTATTGCTACTTGAGCAATCCCCGCCCCACCCCCCCGCCGCAATGTTTCATTCTCGTTAAAAACAAGTGGTTTACTTTCTGTTTGAGCATTCGGCAGCAGTTCTAACACGCGAGAGATGTTATGCGATTTCCAGGAAATAGGGATGGGCCGACTGATTCGATCTCTGCTTCAGGAGCGCTCGCACGCTTTTACTACTTCATGAAAGTTACATTGCGCTAGGGCGTGTTATTAATTTGGACCTATTATGAAACATGGCGGCGACAGAAAAAACCCGCGGAGAGTGTCCATATAACTGCTATTGCAATAATAACGCTGTTTGTTACTGCAAAATAAGTGTTTTGGTTTAGCCCTGTCTTCAGTCCCCCTTTTGTTTAATCTGCACGTTTATTTTCTGAATTTTCGTACTAAACCTGCATATAACAAAATTCCCTTTATAACAAAATTTTCGGGGAATTTATTAATTTCGTTATATCCAGGTTTAACTGTATTTGAATTGACATTTGGGGACTGCATCTGCTGTATTACAGGTGCGGCAGCCTAGCGCAAAGCTTGAGAAATGCTCTGGTGAAAAAGCTTTTGTTCCCCTCTCAGAAACAATTTGAAGACATCAAAATAAAGGGGCAATCAAATTTTTTTTGCGCAACACATATAAAAAAGTTTCAATGGCGAGAAAAAGTTGGACACAGCTGATTTTTAAAGATATGAATGTACCAGTTGAGACGGTATAATTCTATAGTTAAACATAATGCGTTGTGCAGATCAGCACAGCTCTATTATGAAGAACAAGATGGTACAACTGGTGCAACTTTTCTAAGGTTTTTGATTGATTGATATGTGGGGTTTAATGTCCCAAAACCACCATATGATTATGAGAGACGCGAGTTTTCTAAGGTAAAACAACACAGCACTTGTGTTGTGTTACCTTGTCTTCATCCTGTCTCTGTGGGCACTGTTTTTCCCATAATTCATCACAACCCAACTGTCCGTTTAGCACCAACTATAAACCCTGCAAAAAAAAAAGTAAGTGCGAGCATTGCATGAGTGTTTTTTCTTTCCATTAGAAGTGGTGGCCCATCGTGGTCACTGCACTGACCGGGTGTAGGCTGACCCAGTGTGCCATGACTGCAGCGGTCATCATGCGCTGAAGGGCACTTTTGGAGGCTAGGTGAAAGAGCACAAGACGAGCAAAGCTCTCCACTGGACTCTCCACTGGTGGCACCTCCAGGCCAGGCATAGGGCGTGTCACAAAGCCAGACAGCAGGCCAAGCAGCCTGCAAGATAACACAAAACTCATCAGAACCATTGAATGTGACCCACAACATTGAGTGCACTTGAAGTTTGTTAAACCTAACAAATAATTGTTGCAACTGGTTAGCACGAAGAAAAATGATAGGACAGCCAAAGCAAAGGTGTTGTGAGAGAAGCCACTGGAGGGGCAAGTGCTCACCCTCTTACCAGATGCTAGTACACCTCTCCCAGGGTACGGCATGATGTCACTGGCACGCGTGCAGAGCAACTAATAGCAAAACACCCCTGCTGGTGGCACAGCATGGTTACAATCATGTGATGCTTGGGAATTTTTTTAAAGCTTAAACTTCATCTTACTCTTGCAAGATTAGCTGTGGTATGTGTCGGAGAACCTCCAGGTGTGTGGTAAACATCCTCACGAAGAACTTGCTATGCTGGCTGGCTGTTTATCTTACAAAAGTGAAGACACGTAGTAACCTGCGCGAAGAACAGCGGCATCGTCTTCAAAAATGTGCAGTGTTTATTGAGGCATGTAGCGTGCATTAAAAGGCATCAAAAATATTAGTTCACCTTCACAGACAGTGAAACTGAGAATATTGTGTGTGGTGTGTGCTGTGCGAATAACAATGCATCTTGTTTGGAAAACATTGATACTCGTTGTGGGTCGGTGGAGGCGACCCGTTGTCCATGGAACATCGAAGATTCGACATGTTAGTCAAGGTAAAAATGCATATGATGCTAGCATCTACAAGTTTTACACCTCAGCATTTTCACTGCGTGCAGGAAAAAAAATTCATGGTCTCTGGACTCAAAGATACGACTACATAACTACATATGAGCAATCAGCACGTTTTAGCCTTGTTAAACCTGCATATATGCTTTGCCAACGCAAATATGCAAATATAAAGAAAAGCGAGGCGGCATCCATATTTTGTCATTAACCCTGTTATCGACAGTTTGTTTTGATGTTTCGGGGGTAGCTTGCTGCAATGTTGATTACTTTCCTACAATGCTAACAGAGGCGTCACGGTCGTTGTGCGAGATTGCTGCAAAGTTGGCAAAGTGCTTCATAGTGTCATAGCGCACGCTTTTGGGTGCCCCTCGAAATCACAGCAAACCACTGTTGCGGTTAGAGGATTGCGAGAAAAGATAGCCGCAAAACGCTTTTATGGCGTGCGCGGGCGACCCGGGGACAGCTTGAAGAAGATAGTGCGATCAGCCACGGAAGATGAGTTATATGCATCAACGAAGCTGTTTCCAAACACTGCACGCGTACGTCAATTGTGAAAGGCTAAGCGAGCTAACTTTTTTTTTTTTTGCATTACCGCATTTTCGCTCATCCTGAAAAAGTTTTCATAAAATTTGCCCCGCATAATAAACGCATCCCCAACTTTGCTCTGATTTTTTAAAAAAAAAGTGCATTCATTACGCTAGTAAATATGGTAGATCATGAACACCCAGTGCATGCATTTTCTCTTGCCAGTTCGAAAAATGCTCAAACCAGGTGACAGGCCCCTAAGTGTTCACAGACTGAGGAGCAATTGACCCTGTGCGATTATTCCCGGTTAACACAAGGCTAAAAGAACCTTGTGACCTAATAGCGGTCTGGCTATTTGCTCCTCCTATGATGCTTTTTTCAGCCATGCCAAAGAAAAAAAGAGACCCAGGAGCGTGTTTATTCAATGGTCGTAGTAATGTCCCCTCCCAAAAAGTTGTCCTCTATTCGCTCCCGCGTGCATAAAAGAAGTTCGGGTTTACGAAAGGCGTGCTCATTCTGTACGGAAAAGAGAAAAAATCGATATGTTCAGAGTAAATCGTGTGTTGTATATATGTTGCCATTGTCATGCAGGGAGGGTTTATATAAGACAAACCGGGCGGTGCATTAACATGAGACTAAGGAAACAACCTCTTTACCGGCTGCTGACAGGTTGCACCTACCAGCTCATTGTAGGGAGTGTGGCTGCCAACCTATGGCAGATAAAGCCACTTGTTGGTTTGGACATTGGGACAAGTGCACTAGGGAAGTGATGGAGGCTTTTTTCATTGAAAGAGAGAGGAAAAGGTGTGTAAGTAAGCTGTCTGTGGCCCTTGGTGAAAAGGAGGTTCAGTACCTGGGTTCAGCGCTGCCATGTTAAAGTGATTATTAGTTTGTTATGGACTGTTGCGTATCTTTTTGGCAAGTATGAAGGTGTGTTTTTTTGCTTTTTCACAGTTATTACAAACGTGTTCCTGTTCACTATGATTAGGCATGTCTTGTACCTTGTTTGCTAGCTGTAAAGACACCTTTGGTTTGTCACGTGCATGCGTCTTCCAATAAAGTTTAGTTACGAGCGTCTTCGAATATGTGCGTGCGTCTTCCAATAAAGTTTAGTTACGAGTTCAGCGCGATGTGTTCTCCTCCTCTGTCCTTGTCTATATTTTTTGCACTGTTTTTACAAACCTTAAGCTTCATCAAGAGAAACCCAGCCGCAGCTGCAAGTAGCTCACCCAACTACAGGTCCTTCGAGTACATCATTTACAGTAGACTCCTTTTAAACGAAACTCTCTTAAATGAAATTACTGCTTAAATGAAACAACTGCCACTAATATGTTTGGTTTCCTACTTGGATATTGTACCCCTGTTTATCTCTCAGTAAACAAAAGTCCTCTTTAAGGAAAGACATTTTCCTGGTCCCTTCAGGTTTCGTTTAAAAGAAGTCTACAGTATAAGGGTACAGCGCACCACGACAAGGACAAAAAAAGAGAGACGTACACACACACACACATCGCTAAGCGCCTTCGAGTACCACGGTAAGGACAAGTGACTTGGAACCAGCTGGTGATCGTGCTGATGTTGATAGTGGTCAACTAAGGTTGCACGGCGGGCTTGTTGGCTGGTTATCTATAGTATCCGACGTATAGCACATCTAGGACAGGACAGAGAAAAAGACACATGACGTTACGGGGAATAAAGTATACACTGGCGAGCAAATGCGTACTGGCAAATATACTGGCAAGCAAATGCGTACAACACTGCTGCAGTCCGAGCACGTTCACGTTCAGCACTTCGTCGTCGTCATCCTCAGGCATCTACTTAGCCCGTGACATTACCCGCCGGCGGCAGAAGCACCGTCCCGGTGCGATCAATTCTCGAGGCGTGAGTAGTATGGTTTAAGCCGTGAGACGTGAACTATATCGGTCGGGACTGAAGCTGGTACTGACGTAGTATGGAGTGGAGCTATCTCATAGGTCACGCTGGTGACCTTGCGCATGACGCGGTAGGAACCAACGTAACGGGACATCAGTTTTTCGCAGAGACCAACACGACGTGATGGTAACCACAGCAAGACGAGCGACCCCGGAGAGTACTGTACGACGCGGTGTCGGCGATCGTAAGCACTCTTTTGGTTAAGCTGCGAGGCACATAAACGATCCCGGGCGACTTGGCGGGCGATGTAAGCTCGGCCAGGGCATCACGAGCATAAGCAGTCAATGAGGGGACGTCAGATTGGAGCATGGTGTCCATGGGCAAAGGCGGGTCATAACCAAACAGTAGGTAAAAAGGTGAAAATCCAGCTGTATTATGAGGTGAACTGTTGTATGCGAAGGTAACGAAAGGTAAGTGGATGTCCCAATCTTTGTGATCCTTGGAGACGTACATCGCTAACATATTCCTCAGGGTACGGTTGAGGCGTTCCGTGAGGCCGTTGGTTTGCGGATGGTACGCTGTAGTGAACTTGTGTTGGGTAAAACAGGATCGCAGGAGCTCGTCGACTACTTTAGATAAAAAACAGCTGCCACGGTCGGTGATTAACTGACGAGGAGCACCATGACGCAGATTGATGTCATGAAGAAGAAAATCGGCTACATCAGTAGCACAGCTGGTGGGGAGGGCGCGTGTAACGGCATACCGCGTTGCGTAGTCGGTAGCAATAGCAATCCACTTATTACCGGTGGCCGACACAGGAAAAGGTCCTAGAAGATCGAGGCCGACTCGGAAAAATGGCTCATCTGGTACTTCAATGGGCTGGAGGGTACCAGCAGGTGCCAGAGCAGGTGTCTTGCGACGCTGGCAGAGGTCGCATGCCGCAACTTACTGTCGCACAGAACGGTAGAGGCCAGGCCAAAAGAATCGGCGGCGAATGCAGTCATACGTGCGTAACACCCCTAGGTGTCCAGCAGAGGGGGCATCATGGAGCTGGGCCAAAACGTCTGAGAGAAGATGCACAGGAACAACGAGTAAAAGCTCAGCACCATCAGGGCGGGTGTTGTAGCAGTGCAAGATGTCGTTGTGAAGAACGAACAGTTATAAGGAGTGGTCAGGGTGGAGAGAGTGCAGACCATTAATAATAGCACGCAAAGAGGGGTCGCGGCGTTGTTCAGCAGCTATGTCGGTGAAGTCGGTAACTGAAAGAACGAGGGCCTCTTGTCCATCTTCCACCGTGTCAAGGGGATCGACTGGGTAAGGGGACAAGCAGTCAGCATCCTTGTGAAGTTGTCCGGATTTATAGGATGCAGAAAAAGTGTACTCTTGTAAGCGCAGCGCCCAGCGACCAAGGCGTCCCGTAGTGTCCTTGAGTGAGGAGAGCCAGCAAAATGCATGGTGGTCCATAATAACTGAGAATGGTCGGCCATACAGGTACGGTCGGAATTTCGCAACGGCCCAGACAAGAGCTAAGCACTCGCGTTCTGTGATGGAATAATTTTGTTCGGAGCGCGACAACAGTCAGCTTGCATACGCGACGGCGCGGTGCATGCCTTGTTGCCGCTGCGCCAGCACTGCGCCTATGCCGTGGCCACTGGCGTCAGTACGAAGCTCCGTGGCGGCAGATGGGTCGAAGTGTGCTAGGACTGGTGGATTGGTGAGAATTTGAACGAGCGACGAGAAGGCGTTTGCTTGCTGTTGGCCCCAGGTTTATGCGACATCTGTTTTGAGGAGGCCGGTTAGAGGACGGGCTACTTCAGCAAACTTCTCGACAAAACGACGGAAATAGGAGCACAGTCCCAGAAAACTTCGGACGTCCTCGGCTGAGCGGGGTGTGCG